GCCTTTTTCTTCTTGCATGTGGATGGTACGTGTTTGGGGAAACTTGTAACTGTTGTTGATCACGACTCATCTTCTTAAGGTTTGGTTTTTACTTTCCATGTTACATGTATTAAAAAATAATAATTAAAAAAAAAATYTATCAACCCTGCACATTTCAGATGTCATGTCTCTACCAGAGCTAAATGAGCCGCCTATGTTACAGGCTTCCAAACAGGCCTGATTCAGTTTGAAGTTACATTATTTCAGTGCTGCTGCCTTGGCCTTCTCTTCTGGATCCTCTGCTGTTCTGATGCTGGTTGTTTTCTGTGTTTTAACTCTTGTTTTACTGCTTCTTCCCCTCTTCCTTCCCCTCTTTTGTNNTTTTTTTTTTTTTTTTTTTTTTCTGTGTGTCTCTGAATTCCAGCCGGCCGGGTAAGGCCAGTCCCTCCCGCCCGGAGAGTCCCAAACCACCATTTGACATGTAGGCCTGCTCCCTCTGAGACTCTCTGCCTGCCTCTTAGCTGTTCTGTCCCGGAGTGCTCTGACTCGAATCTCATACTTGGCTTGTTTTGTTTGTATTTTGTGGCACACACACACGCACACGCGTATCAGATGTGACTGTAGTGAAACTGTCTGGTTTTTCTTTTCCTCCCAGCTGCTTAAAGGAGTTACAACAAGTATATTGTAGTAATGAGAAACATATCTTTACTGTTATAAATATCTATAAATATATATATAAGATCAAAAAAGTCTATATATGTCCAGGTGTTTAAAGCCATTTGTGCTTCCATGTGGATTTTAGGAAATACTTAAGTAGGAAAAGAATATCTATATACATACATATATATATTACACCTGAAAATTAACCAAATCCTGACGTTGAATTTTGAGCTGATTGTTGAATTCTCTGCTGTGTGCAGTTGGGTTATTGTATTACCCCAGACTTGTGGGTGAACTGTCTCAGTGCTGGTAGTAGCTGTGATGCAGTTTGTGATCTACCTGTCACTCTTGTTTATTGAATGAAATAAACTATCATTTCTGTATAATGAAGGACTCTATGACTAGAATAAAACCATCTCTGTTCTTTTTTTTTCTCTGGGTGGCTTCTGGACTRTATTTAATTATAATAACCTAATATTTTCATTCCGTAGTGCTTAAAAAGCTACATGTGCACGCAGGTGTTATCACTAATAAGGGACTTAAAGCAGAGGTGCATCGACACTGGTGTCCAGGAGCTGCAAAAAAAGGTTCCCCAGACGTTGAAGTTAAATTTCTCCCTTGTAAAGGCAAGTGCGTGGAGGTGCTTCAGGACTGGATGGACACAAGGTGGGAGTGTTGTTGACAGGGTGCTTGGCTGAGAGAAGGGTGTCTTACCCAGTGGTGGCACGCAGCAAGCAGGTGTGGATTTGGAGAACTTCTGGCCAGCATTCTGGCCAATTCTGTTTTTGGCCAAYAACATCTATTGGGGCCATATCTGCAATATAGGCTAAAGCCATAGTATGAAACATGTCTGGCCAGCTTGGACTTAATACTTACTGTTAATCTGAAGTGACATTTATGTCCTGCAGTAAACTTGGTAAGCCGTATTACTGCAGTGCCCATGCCAAAGCAGTGGTGCAGGTCTTAGGGCAGCACTTACCCTGACAGCAGCTGTGCTTCCCCATAATCCTGGAATTTAGCACTGTCATCTCAACAGTTACAGTGGGTTCCTTATATCATGGTTTAGCARGGCCTGAGCACTTTTTGCTGTGGAAGAAAATCTAGGAGCCTTGGGTTTGCAGGTGCCTTGTATCACTTCAGTGCTGATGCAGCACCAAGAGCTGCTAGCTAGCTGGTTGCATGGGGAGTCTTCATGTTAAGATTTTAATAAGCTAAAAGTCCTAAACTTTTTATGCATATTTGATACTGGAGGAATAGAGTAGTATTTTAGTGATTGCTTCCTGTGTGTGTTGCAGCTATTTCTGTCCTTGCAGGTCCTTATTATTTCTGTCCTTACAGGATGTAACTTCAGCCTCAGCGCATGTGAAGCAGTAGCCATTGCTTGCCCTGCACTGCCCCTAATTGCTCCACGCTGGGAATGGTCATGGACCCCTGGGCTTATGAACAGAGTTGTTTCTAAAGAGCCTGGGACCTTTTAAAGCTGAAACTATGTAGCTTTCTTCAACTAAATGTTAGAGCCTTAATTTTAAAAACTAGAAGCCTCTGATCTACTGGTTGCCAAAGGTTGGGTGTTGTGAGAGTAGAAACTCCTGCCTGCTAATCTCCAACATGTTGTTTAACAGAATGTCCTGTCTCCAACTGCATCTATTTGGAATGGTCTTAAAGGCTGTTTCCTGTTTGCTTGACACTTAGAGCTGTTACGAAGCTTTTTTTTTTTCTTCCTCTTTTTTAAATCTGAGGTGTTGGGGTAGTTCAGCTACTCCAATTTCAAGTTATTTTGTGCCAGACGGACCATAGTTAACTGCTGSTGTGTCTGTTCCTAGTAAAGGTGAGATCAGGGAAAACCTTCCAAATAGAACAGGGTTAAAAAGCAAGTCAGAATCTAGGGGCATATGTGAAATATTGGACAAGTAAAAAATGTCTCTGCAACCAGTTACCTTAAGCATGGTAGCTTAAGCATTTGTTGATCTGCAGCAGTAACAGGGTAAAGAATATTATAAAATGCACAAGTCATTATCTAGATGTGTGGTGTTGGCTTATATAGAATGTGTGGGATTGGACTAGATGATCTCCAGAGGTCCCTTCCACCCTTAACCATTCCGTGGTTACGTGTGTGGTTCTGTGTGTGCGGTTCTGTGTGTGCCTTTTGCAGGGGTACGAAGGCAGGACTTGCCCTCTGGGGAAGGGAGCTCCTCCTGCCCTTAGGCTATTCCACTGTCAAGTAGGTGAAAAGAGCACTCATCTGTCTTGGGGAAGTTCCTAGTTGAAAACAGCCTCTAATCGACTCCCATAGCAAGTGTAGTATGTGAATCCAGAAAAAAAATGTTCCCTTTCTCCACACAACCAATAAATCACCCTAAAAAATACAGGAATGTCAACTTAAATCTTAACTGCTTAACAGTGTTGCTGCTCTGACTCCTTGGAGCCTGTGTGCAGGAGAGCAGCCAGGAACACAAAGTGAAAAGGGCATCAGTGCTGGAGCAGGAGTCTACAGGGGGGCTACATTTTGTTTTTGTACTTCTTTCATTTTTCTAGCTAATTCTCCAGGTGTTCTAAGTGGAAGAAATACATATAGTCAGTATCTGAATAAGTTTATTCAGAAAGCAAGCAAATTTGTAACAGGATTAGGTCACCTCTGCAGCAGCCTGCAAAGCCTCAATAGCCTTTTTCTTCTTCACAGTTTTGGACTAGAACACCCAATAAATATTTATTCCATTTATAACAGTAATGCTCTGTATTAAATCATAGYCCTGCCAGTACAGATATTTTTCTGAACACTGCCAAAGGCTGGTCTCTTTTCAAGGACTGTACAGACTCTTATACATATATATGCACATAAACCATGCAGCTAGGAGCAGGGGAGGCCACAGTGATAGYGTTGGGCCTTGAGTAGGGTGTTGTGCTGTAAAGCAGACAACACCAGAACTATTCCAATGAAAGGAGGAGGCTTGAGAAAAAAAAAGCCTCATCTTCCCTGGCTATGTTCATAGGAGAACATAGCTTCTGTTTCCTTTACCTTCTTTTTCAGTTGTACATGGACATCAGCATCAAGCTTTAATSTTCTTGTCTGCTTTTGGTGGTAGGAGAAAAGCTCCTTGATCACGTTGACCAAAAAAGGGACGCTTGACCATCTCAGCCATAAAGGCAGGCAGGAACAYCTCTATTTTACAAACCCAACCCCCAGTACTGTGTTCCTGGGCTTGCACTTCRTCTCCTGCAGCCGTGCAGGCCACTAGAGCACGAGGCGAGTGCAGGGGGGTTGCACTGAGCCAGGTCCCTCCAGCTGCCCCACCAGTTTTTCAAGGGCTGCTGCTGAGGCTGCTGCTGTTACYGAGAGCAGCAGGTAGCTCTTGCCCGAATCCTGAATTGAGTTTGAAGATGCTCCAGTGCAGTTTGGTTTGACACATACCTGCCTTGTCAGAAGGTGCCCTGCACACCCAATGCTGCCACTTGCCAACACGTTTTGCTCTCCTGGTAGAACTTAGCCTGATCTTTCAGGACACTGACAGGTGATGTCTCTCTCTGACAAGCATCCTGGCATTTAAGCAKAGCACAGAGGTGGTTAAATTCTACCCTCTGTGCATCTAACACACTTAGCTTGAATTTTCTTTACCAAAATGGGAGAAAAGGAAATTTAGTGATGGAGAAGCCCACAGTCCAGAAACTCAAAACAAAGCAGGTTTATTAAGTGGTTTCCTTTTACTCATTTCTCCCATTTTTTAATAAATAAAACCTTCAGACACATACAATTGGAACACATCATCTTTCAAAGTGCAGTTACATTTCCACCCCACTCCCAATCATCCACATAAAGCTTTGTCAAGTAACCAAAGACTCAAAAGGCAACCCTAGGTCCCTGCCCCCTAGCTAAAGAGAATATATGGTTCTGTAGTGCTGCCTAGGTAGCCAGAAGCCTGTATCTTTTGGCTGTTTTGAGAATGGCAAGGCTGGTTTCAGATACAGTACATGAGGCAGGCTGCAGAGGAAAGTGGGAAGTTTAAGATACAGAGTGTGCAACAAACCCAACTGTTTAGAATCCCAAGAGTTTGTTCCCAGGGCACGTTGCTCTGGGAGCCTGGGAAGGAAGGAGGCAGCCTGCAGTCCTGACTGATGGAACTGAGTCCCTGGCGRGGGGCTGGCTGCCAGCAGCAGAGTYCTGGTGTGGGGATACAGGACAAGCAATCAAGTAATTCTGCCAGGGGTTGTGGAATGCCCTGTCCCCCAACCTGGAGCTCCCCAAACTGCCTCCTATGAGCACTTCTAGTCCACCTGTACTCTGAGCCCACCACGTAACAGAAGAAAGGGGAGGGAAGATGAGGTCTGATGCTCGAGTTCCATCTGATGCCATCCCTCTTTCTTCAGGTCTTTAAAGCAGATACCTGTTCTGACCAAGGGCACTGGGCAGAGGTACAGGTCAAGTACAAGTCTGTGCAAGTCCTTACAGGCTCATAGAAAATTGCTGTAAATAAGTGTCACTTAAACCACCATGATTTTGACCTCATCATTCTCATCAGCCCGGTAGAAGAAGGGAATGCAGGGGGTTTCTGGCAGGGAGCCMAGCCTCTCCTGAGGGTTCTGGATTTCTCTGAGAAGCTGCATTATTTGCTTTGCTGTGGGGTCCTCTTGGGTTGGCTGAGCAGTTTTACTGTCAAGGKGGGGGAAACTGGACTGATGATTACCAGCTTCTTGTTCCGCTTCATCCGATAAACTCACTTCTCGTAGTCCTGTAAGGAACACAGACAGGGCAGGAAGGTAACACGCTTTCCCTCCACCCTCAGCACCAAACCCTCAGGTGTTGGATGCCGCTCACCTTCTCCATCAGTAGCGTTCAGTTCAATGCGCCTCTCCCCGGGAAGCAGGCTCTGATCCTGGCCTGCCAACGGCTCTGGCTTCTGAGCACCTCCCACGTACTTGCTGTACCACTCATTTCTCTCCCCAACCAGTCGCATGACCAAGTCCTGCAGCTCCAGTAACTTCACCTGCACCAATGGAAAGGAAAATCTATGAGGCATGCACATGGCACCGGCCTTTTTCAGGTCAACCAGGCTCAGCTGTAGACAGCTTAGAGCCCCTGCAAACAGTTCTCGCTAAAGCAGTTTCCTCTGAGCCTCCAGGGAGGTGCTCATGGTAAAGTCATAGTAAGCTTGAACCCTTTTGGGTTTCAAGTGCCACCCTCAGGTACTTAAAAGTTTACTGGCCTGCCTCTGTCCCAAAATTAGCACCTTCAAAATTAAACTTAACTGAGGAACACCAAAGGAAGACTGGGAGTCTGAAAGTCCTCCCAGGCCTGCCTATTATTGTGTGCCCTCCTYGGAGTCCTGCTACAGAGTAGACTCCTTGCCTTCATCTCTTCCTTGTCCTGAGCCAGCCTGCTGATGTACTCCTCTTTCTCTTGGTGTCGTTGTTTGAGGATAGCCCTTTGACTCTGATATAATGCAATATATTCCCCTGAAACACAAGCGTAAAGAAGAAGTGTTAGTGAGATTTGTATATAAGCCTTAACAAAGAGCGTACAGACTCCGGGGCATTAGGATCCAACCCAGGAATAAAGTGTAGCCAAACTGGACAACATCAGGACCCTTGAACTACTAAGTTCACTAAGGAGTCCGAACTGCAGGGCTCCTCTCCAGGAGCCACGGGGGATCTTCTGCTGCACAAATAAGGCACCGAGGGAGCTTTAGCTGGTACATGTGTTGCCTAAACGTACCAATGGTGTCCGTTTCCCCGGAGAGCTGAATGCAGCGGTGTTCTAGCTCCTCCAGCCGCTCCTTCAGATCAGCTTTCTCCTGCATCAGGTCTGTGAAACGGGACTGAACACAGAATCCAGATCAGCCACCTGAGCTGCTCCCACGCACGGAATACATGTCCTGTGACCACCACCCTCCATTACATTGGTCTGAGCATAACAAATAAATCTCGCTTCCTGTTCCATTTCTCTTGTATTTGGTCACAGAAAGGTATAAAGAGGTAGTGAATATGAAGGAGCATCTCCCTGTATTTTGGGATCTCCCTGTATCGCTCTATATTTTGGGAAACAGGGATGGAACAAGAGTCCTTTAACCTTCTGCTGAGTCAGCCCAACTCCAGTCASGCTCAGACAGCTCTAAGTGATGTGACAAGCAATGATTTTAGGAAGCAGTATATTATTACGGAACATTTTGCTATTTACTTCTCCCACAATTTCTATGTGCTAGAGGATGGTCTGACAGTAGTCAACCCAGGCAGGGTACTAGGACTGAGAGGAGATGAGAACCTTTCCTCACCTGTAGTTTCTCCATGGCATTTTTCAAAGCCTCATGAACCTCCACTGGGACAGTATCCATAGTGGAATCTGCAAAGGAGATGTTCAGTTTATGGTTCCTGCTCGGGCCCGATGCCCTCCCTCTTTCTCAGGCCAGAGCCAGCTGGCCAAGATGTGCCTGCATCTTCACACTGTCCGCAAACCGTGCCAAGCGTTACCTGCACTCACTGTCACATTATGTTGCTGCTCCTGCCTAAGAGCTGCTATTTGCTGCAGGAGGCTTCTGCACTGCTGTTTCTGAATGGTGAGTTGTTGTCTCATATCTTCTCGCTCCTTCTCTACTTGGGACATGGCAGATGTCAAGAAAGCAACCTAGAAAGAAATCCAGAGTCTTCACTTTAGGGCTTCTCCTATGTGAAGCACCAGCAATTGTGCATCTCAGGACTAACAACTAAATTTACCCCATGTTATTTATGGGCAAAAAACCAAAGTACTAAGTAACTGGCCTGGAACTAAATGCAGTAGCAACTGCTGCATCTCATTTCTGGAATGGTACGAATCACGTCTGCTCTGCAGACTGCGTCTGAATTCCAGCTCCCACAGTAACTACATTATATGTCTGCTTACAGAAAAATATACGAGATGCTCAACACCGTTTCCAGAATCTCTTTGAAACAACATCACAATAATTAGAGAGCTACTCTGCCAGTTGAACTGTTTTCATAATTAGATAAAGCCACTGCAGGACTTCCAGCCTGCCTTTCAAGGGTACTACAGAAGCCTTGGTCGCTTGCTGCTGTGCACAGGGGACCATTACCCTTCCCTCACAACTCTGCTTGAGCTGATGGTGATCACAGCAGGTAAACAACTTATTTTGTGCACACACTCTCTGTGATTCAAACTCTGCTTTTCTAAGCATCTGTTTACAACTAAAACCAAAGGCTCTTCTACCCACTGGGACCCACCATTTCTTCATGGCTTTCAAAGTTCTCTGGGATCACAAATGAAGATTTTGGGGTTTCTTCAATCATTGCTTCACTTTCAACTCCATCTCCTGTAAAAGGAGGAAGGTGAACAAAGAAGTAATACCCCAGAGAACCCAGCTCTACCTGCAGCTCTCTCCAGAGATCACCTGCAGCTACTCACCTTCTAGTCGCTGCAACATCCTCCCATCCAGCTCTGCTGCTAACTGACTGATCTGGGCCTGCAGCTCTTTGTTTTCCTTAGCTACAGCTTCCAGATTTTCCTGTGAAAGAAAAGGAGCAGATCACTCAAACTGCTCTACACCAAAGTCTGCGTGAGGCAGACTGAAACAATCAGCAGATCTTCAAGCAGTAGCAACAGAAAAAGAAAACATAAAGTGCTTTTGCTGCAGACACAAATCATTCGCTTATAATTTACAGAATACAATGCAGTCAAATTCTGTTTTTACACTAGCCCTTTATTACTATTACCTTAGTCTGCTGCAGCTCCTTCAGGTGCATCTCCACAGTCACCTTCCCTTGCACTTCCTCATGCTGTAGCCGATCCATAAGCTGTGTCTGGAGCAGGTACTGCTTGTGCAGTTCCTCCCTCTCGGCAGCCAGCTGCTGGTAAGCCACCGTGTACTGCTGTAAGTGGCTGTAGTACTGGTCCCGCTGCTCCTGCAGCCCTCGAGCTTCCTGGGTTTTCAGCTCCAGCTGGTGCAACAAGATCAAACCATCACCAAAAGCTCAAGCCTGCTGCAGTTTCTAGGTGGCGAAGTCTTTCCCCATAAATCACCACCCCATGCTGTTCTTTTTCAGGCTGGGGCAATGGACACCACTTTTTTTTTTTATCCTGTCAGGAAAACTAAGCCATGTGGCGTAATCCAAAATGTCACTGCCCCAAAGTCACCAAMCAGGCAGCCCACTGCCATCTGCCCCCACAAGCCAGACCCCCACATCAGATAGCAGATGATGGGGGAAGGCTCCCAGTTTGATCACTGCAATACTGGTTTCCATCTTTTCATCCAAGTTTGGTAACTTGSCAACTCTGCTTTGTACAAACCAGTACATTCCTGCCCTGCCACCCCACTGCACTTTCTTACCGTCTCTTTGAGCTCCCCCAGGTTCTCCTGCAGCTGCCCAAGCTTCTTGGCCAGCTCCTTCTTTACATGTTGCTCTGATTGTAGGGCACTTGTAACCTCCATGTTTTCATTCGTCTGCAAGAATCCAAGACCATTGTATAAGAAAACTGCCCCGACAAACACATATTACTTTTAATAAAATTCCTGAWAATACCGAGTGCTGTATTCTAGAGTGTGAACAGTGGCACTTGTGTCATCAATTGACTGCTCAGGGCAGTAAATAACTTAGAAAAAGGTTCAGAAGACAGAAGAAGAGTGAGCAAAGAGCCTTGGGATGAGTGCCAAGAAAGAGGTCTAGCACATGGCACAGCCTTTCAGCTCCCAAGCAGATGGGCAGTATGAAATTCCAAACAGTCATAAACATTCAAAACTAAGATAAGGTGCTCAGAAAGACCTGAACAAAAACAGTGACCAGGCCACTGATCAGTTTGCCATGCTCAGAAAGAGGAAGCCGTTACACTGATAGAAGAAGGAAAAAAAAAAAAAAAAAAAAAAAAGGCTAATGATTCAGCTCCAGGAAGGATGAGAGCAGCAGGAGAGAAGACTGCTGAGAGACCTTCCTCCTAAGCAAATACAGGGAACAGAAAACAGTCTCTTCAGAGGGAAAAAGGAGGAATGAAACAGCCTGACTAATACAGGATGTACTGCTGCTCTAGCAAAGATACTGGTTCATCTACCAGAGCATCAGGAGTATGGAATTGTAGGGAAGCTCCTGGCTGTGCAAGACAGATCACAGGAGGTGGAGTAGCCATCCCGAGAGGACAAGATGGAGAGAGCTCCTGCCATGCGCTTACATCTGTGCTCTAACAGAAGAGCATCCACAAGGGAAGTGGTGGCGAGAGAGACCTACCAGTCTGACAAACCCATTCTGCAGTTCAGCCAGCTGCTCCTTGAGGTCMCGGTTTTGGCTCAGAGCCCTGCTGATGGTGGCCTTGTCACTCTGCATGCTCTCCAGGATCTGCTGCCTGTCCACAGACTCCTCGCTGTAGCGCTGCACGGTCTTCTCGAGCTCCAGCAGCCGCTCCTCCTGCTCCCTGTTGAGGTGGCTCAGCTGCTCRTTGTCCCGGACCTGGGCCTGGTACTGCCCGTGCAGCTCATCTCTCTCTTGCTGCAACCGCTGGACCTCTTCCCGCAGGCTCAGCTCAGCCTCTGTGGGCCCTGCCGGGGAGGAAGGCTCCGTATCCGTGGGCTTAGCTACTGAGGAAATGGAATTGAGAGCAGCTCGGTCAAAAGGCTGCGTCATTTGAATAACACAGTGTTACACAACCTGCACGGCTTTATAAACCAGAATTTATCACCAGCTCCAGTATCCCACCCTTCTGAAGAAGGAGCAGGGCATTGAGAGGAATGAAAGAGAAAAAACACCCCCAAACCAAGTGCAGCTTCCTGCTGCGTGATGCTAAATCGCTCACAGTCCAAGCAAGAGCAAACCTCTGCCTTCTCAGTCTCCTCTGATTTCATGGTCACCTAGGCCATGCAGAGGGTCACAGAGGCGTACAGTATCTAGTCAGAAASTAGAGACAGTACACATAGATTAAAGGCATAAACTACTGATCAATTATGTGAATTAGTTCATTTGTTGTTTGCTAGGAGCAGCTGTCCTCATGACTTCAGGGCATCAGATCCACTTGTACRTGGTGTGCAGAAGTTCCTGCTCATGGGTAGGTAACCTGTAGATATCGTGCTGGAACCCTGCATTATGAAATTGCATTTGAAAAGCCCTACCTGATTTGCTTAACAGTTCTGTAACATTGGCTTCCAGCTCCCGAATTTGGGTCATATGTTTCTCCTTCTCTTCTGCCATTGTGTGAACCTGCAGAGCCACATAGGCGGTAAGTTAAAACAGTGCTCATGATGCACTTCATCCTGCTTGTGTTAATCAAATGCAGCTTTGACAGCGCCTCTGGTATTACCTGCTCAGAGAGCTGCTGAACCCGCTGCTGCCAAATGCTCCCCTCCTCCTTCAGCTTCTCTACATACTGATCTCTTTCTGCCTGCAGCTGGTGAAGTGACTCTGAGAGCTGTTCAAAGAAAGAAACAAAAACACAAAGAAAACTATCAGCTAAATAAATTTACCAGTGACTGTTTAAGGAATAAAGCTAGAAGAGACCAGTGTTAATGCAAAGCTCAGGCTGCATCCTTCTGCCAAACAAGTTTCTTTCCTTTATGTAAAGTCAAGATTTGAATCGTCAGCATTTTGCATACAACCCCTCACCTGAGCGATCTGCGTTTCCAGGCTCGCCCTCTCCTCCAGTGCCACCTGCAGCTGTTGGTTGGCATCCAGGCTCCCCGACTGATTTGAGAACTGCCCATGAAAAAAACAGAAAGTTATGGCAAATGGTGAACCGCTAACAGCTGGCTTTGGGCATCCCCTTCTAACTCATTGCTTGCCTTAACTTGCCCCAATTTGCCATTATCCAATTCCCCTCTCCCTGCCAGGGATTAAAACAACACCTCTGCTTAACTGGGAGACCACATAAGAGAAAGGCTGGGCATGGATATAAGCAGGAAAATAGGACAAAACACTTCATACTTTCACACTTCATGTGTTTGCTCACCCTCATATCACATCATATTCTTTTAGTAGACCACTATCACAATGTCTTTGCATCTGCCATTCCAGCTCCTTAGAGTGTGGGCTTTCTATTCCTCACAGGCTTCACTGACAGCCTTCTACTAAGAGGATATAATCATAAAATTTTGTGCCTTCCTTGAAAAAGACAATGATCAGTGCAATCTACACCCACATCCCAGAAGAAGTACAGTCACCTGTTGGATCATCAGTTCAGCCATTTCCAGTTTCTTATGTAAATCCTCCAGATCCAGCTTCATGGCTGAGTTCTCAGAAAGCAGGGAGCGGAGTTTCTCTGACAATTCTGAGTTCTGCTGCTTTAGTTCCTCAGTACCTTTGCTGAAAGAAAGACACAAACAAGCAAAAATAAAATGGCAATGCTTTTTATATTAGCCACAAGATGACTTTTTTTCCCCCCACCATCAATATCCAACTTCCCAAGCAACCACTTGTGGTCAGTTCTTCTTGTCATGTTTTGTGGCACTACTGAGAGGTTTGAAACCACTATCTCTGCTACACATCTTCGATGAAAGGAGGACCTGCTGTGCACTARAGAAGGTGACCAATATGCCATCTGTTACAAGGACTGCTTTACAAGAAGTTAGCAGTAACACATAGCACAGACTCACCTTTGTTTGTACAGTTCCAGTTTCAAGTTGTCTCGTTCCTTTACTAGCTCTTTATTATGCTAGGAAAAAAWTGAGGAAATTATTATTTTGCTAGAATGTGGAGATGAACCTAACACAAAATACTGAATGATTGCCTAGTTGCTCCTTTAGCAAATCAGCTAGTGTGGGAAAAGCCAAAACTTGAGCAAAATCCTCAAGTTTTGCCTGGAACCTCCTTTGCAGCTGTAGTAGGCTGGCTAGTGCTGCAGCCAAGCACCCCATCAGATACTGTACAAAGCAAGAATTGCCAGGAATTCATCTGCTCAGGTATTGTCAAATGTAAAGCTACTAACTGCCCATGAGGTTATTTTTTTGCAAACTTCTGGATTAGTATCAATACTAAAGTGTCTRCTGGATGGCGATGCCCCAGGGAGGAGGTCTCGTTTAGACTTCTGTTGTTTGCAGCTGGCAAGACTAATCAAGTGAAGTRCCAGATCTGAAGACAGCAACTGGACCATATGATTCGAGGTCATGGAAGACTGGATGTCACTGGAGAACAGAGGGCTTTGCTAACAAGGCTAATTCTGCCTCTTCACTAAGCAGGGATAAGCAAATGGGAAGAACTAGAGCTGATGGTTAAGCATGGACAGAGTTGACTCTTACCTTCTCTGACTGTTTCTGCTGCATGGAGATGGAGGATAAGGTGCGTTCCAGCTCCGCCACCCTCTGGCGCGATGACTGCAAGCGAGCAGCAAGGTCCTCCGCTTCTCCTGGCGCGTCAGAGCAGTCAGGTGAGACCAGCCCACATAGAGCTTTATGCAACTGAACAGCACTTTCTACCACGTTAACAAGCTCTTAAACACTTCAAAGAGGGCAGCACACAGTGCTCTAAATCCGGAGACCTGGTTCCTGGCTTTACTGGTGATTCACTAGCCATGCTGGGCTGTAAAGCTCTCCCTAACTACCCTCCTCATGTTTAGAGGGAGATGATGAAACTTCCTTTGCAGACTAGCAGGTAATATGGTCTTTTGTTTGTTTTTTTCCTAACAGAATAAATTGCTCAAATTTAGTTCTGAATTAAAAGCTTGGGTAAAATGAACATTAACATGAGAACTGAGTGGAAGGGAGGGCAGAGAAAGGGGCATGAAGTTTCAAAGAAATCAGAAGAGAATGGGAAAGGAGCAGTCCGGAGTAGTCACTGGCCTGAAAAGGACTGAGAGGACTTTAATTATGCACAAAAGAACTTCAACTGCAATGGGATTAACATGCTCTATAMTGACAGAAGCAGTGATGGTGCCAAATACTGCTCATTAAGGAGTCAGCAAGTGTTGTGAGCTGGCTGCCAGCAACTCTCATGCCTGTGACTTGCAATCCACAGTTTAATCAACAGCTTGGGTTGGAATCAGCCTGGAGATGATTACCTGATTTCTGCCGGGCAGCTTGTTGAGTGTGTCCAAGGGCCGTCTGCAACTCAGACTTCTCAGAAACCAGAATTCCAATAGTCTGAATATGAACCTTGAGAGGAGGAAAAGTCAGCTCAGTGCAAAATGTCTTTGCTTGGAACCACAAGACAACTGTTTCCACTAAAGGTTAATTCCCTAAAGGTAAAGAGGCCCTGCAGCTCAGGACAGGGCTTGGCTGCCTGGCTCGCCCAGCTTTCCTGAATGGACACACATGCCTTTCAGGATGAAGGCTGGGAGCAGTCCAGAAATGAATTAAGGTAGAACGGGTGACRTTATGAAACAGAGATTCTGCCTTACCTGCAGCTGTTCCCTCAGCGCTGCTTGCTCTTTAGAAAATTTCTGTTCAAACTCCTTCTTTTCCTGAATAAACAAATGATGCCCATTCAACACAATATTTTAAATATTTAACCATTTTTAAATCATATTAGAAAAAGCAGCAGTTCACTGGCAGTAGTTCCAGCATCTAATTGCTACTAATACTTCTAAATCTACTTCGGTCTTCACTATTGGAAGTGCTTTAGTAATATCCACCCTAGCAGGGCAATGGGAGGTTCCTTATGCTAACTCAAACATGGCAAAGTCTGGAATGCAAAACACTATAACCTCCTGCATCCAGCCAGGCCCTCCAACACTCACTGATTCAAGTACTATCTTCTATCAAAACAAGAAAGCTACCTTGCTAGGCCTATCTTAGGAAGCCAAGATACGCAACCCTGTGCTACACATGAAGCCAAAGCTAGTGTAAAACGTGATCACGTTTGCTWGTGTCACAGCCCACTGTGCGTTCCACTCTTTGGAGAAAGAGATAACTATTTTGGTCTCTATCCAAAAATGGGGCACATTTTACCTTCTCCAGCTGATTCATTGCTTCTTGGTTCTGCTGTTTCTAAAGGAGGAAATAATTAATGTATCAGTATTAAAAAGGAAAAGGAAGAGAACRGAACAACATAAAGGAAAAAAGAAAAAAAAAAACAAAATAAATAATGCAACAAGTGGGATCATGGAATATATTGGAAAATGCTTTGGAGAGGAATAACCTGAGGGAAGAACAAAATGAGGAAAAGCACTTCAAACCAAGCAAGCCTCTTTTCAGGTTGAAACAAGTCCTTTTAGCTAAATATCTTGCAGTRTTGAAGCAAAAGGCTTTAAGCAGCAACAGCCACCCATGCAAGCTGCAGGACAAAGCAGTTCATTCACAGTGCCAGGGAAGCTCAGGCTATGATCAGAAATGAGCCCCAGGCTCCCTCCTAGGCCTATTGCTCYCACTGTCAGTGTATTTGGACCAGCATCACCACCTGCAGAAACAGGTTTTCACACTACTGCCAATACTGAAATTCTGTTTCTGTTGAATTTCAGGGATTCGGAATGAGACCCAAGTAAAGCTGTTTTATTGCCCAGGAAAAAAAAATCCCATAAGATTAACAGAAAACAATTAACTAAAAAAAAACCACAAACAACAAAAAAAACCCCACTTGGTTTCTCATTCCTTAGTTGAGCTAATACATTCATTCAAAAGTAGCTTCAGATTTTCATCCTCTTAATGTTTTCCAACATAGCCCATTTTTTTCCCTTACAAAACGCTGTGTAAGCAGCTTCCCTTGCGGCACTGCAAGAGAACTGACAACCTTGTAGACACCCAGAGAGCRTGGAAGAGCAGCAAAGACAACGGCAAACTGGTCAGATTGTTTCTTACCAATTCCTCTATCTTTGTAATGAGCTGTTTGTTAGTTAGATTGCTGGAATCTAGGGCTACTGCCAGCTCCTGGTAACGTGTCTGACGGGCACATGCAGACAGGAGGAGAAAAAGGAAGGGCAGAGGAGGAAGAGGGGAGGAAAAAGCAATAATTAAAAAAAGACAGAAGAATAAACCATTATCACAGTTTGATACGATCACATTCTCCAAACAAATGAAAAGGCACATTCAATGAAAGTAGCCAGGATGACAAGATAATTGTGTCCATTCCAASTGAGGGCTCATTTCTACAGAAAGGTGAATCAGAATTAAGGCCTGCAGTCGCATGGAGGCCAGATCAGCCCCAGCCCCAATCTGGAAACACCTCAGATACCAGTCTCTGACTGTTCACCACAGCCATCGCAGCACAACACCACAGTRACAGCAACGTATGTGAACTGTGCGTTCAATTAGGTGCCATTAACACCACCATAAACACACAATCCCAATRAACACTCAACAGCAGCAAATGAGGGGGGCAGAGAATCACAAACTGAGGACAACTTACTTCCATTTCCTTAATATCTGTGGAAGAAACGGCACTTTCTCCATTCACATACGATGTAGACTAGAAGAAAACCAATCAAATAAGTCAGATCTGTTTCCCAAGGCAACAAACCTAACTATTAAGTTAGAARAAACTATCAAAAACCTTTCACTTCACAGTACCACACAGGCAAGGACAACACTTCTCTAGCTAACAGAGGTAGCCTCTTCCTTGACAAGCTGAGGTGATTTATGCAGATTTACTTCGTATTCTTTGCCACTAAACCAAGAATGCATCTTTCCATGAATACATAGTGTTCATTCATCCCACTCTGCTCTGCCTCCTACCGCATGAAATTTCACATTCCTAAAACAAGAGTTTTTGCTTTGCAGTGTTTAAATATCTCCTTGTTCGGAAGTACAACTGCAGACACCTCGATAGAGAAGTGTTTCCCGAGCTGACTGCYTGAAGCCCATGTCAGACATCACAAGAGTTAACAGGACAAAAGGAATAAAGCGAGGCCATACCTGAGAAACGAGGCCATTGAGCTGCTCGGACAACTGGCGGAGACTTTCTGTTGATGAAAGAGACCTGGGAACAAACACAGACAATAATTATTCCTTTGGATAAAAGTTTCTTTCAGAGAAATGCCCTGATCAGAACTGCACTAAGGAAAAATATGATTTTAACTTGCAGGAATCCTGCTGCAAATCTGTTTATTACACAGATACAGACACCCACCTGTTCTCATCCAAGGCATTTTTACGATCTTCAGCTTCACGAATCTGCGGAGCAAAACACAGACATTTACAGGCCTGTAGAAAGGATGGGATGACTCCTGTGATCACTAARGCAGACCTCTGGTCTCAAGTTCTGCAGTCCCTATAATTGCTGTTTTCCAATTAAATACTCAAATACTCATTCAGTCCTGGCTCACACATAATTACCCAGTGCTGAGGCCCAGGTTTCTTAAAGAGAAATCTTTAAGAGATTTCTTAAATCTTAAGAGATCTCTTAAATCTTAAAGAAAAACCTTTAAGAGAAATATATGTCTTGCAGGCTTTACGTTTGCTATTATCATCTATCAGTATAATCAGCCCTGCTGGAAAGTTTGCAATTGTCCCAGCCTGAGCAGGGGGGCTGGCTAGATGATCTCTAGAGGTCCCTTCCAACCCCAACTATCCTGTGGTTCTGTGAATCTTTAAATAGCCTAAGGAAATGCAAATTGCTGCAGCTGGTGACCTTCTGTCTTATTAAGGATGCTTTCTGCCTGGAAAACGCGAGAAGAGGGCAGAAAATAGAAACACTAGAAGCAGCAGAGGGACCACGTGCTCGCTGTACAATCCTCCTCATTCTCACAGTTGAGGGAGAGCAAAGAAAACAGTATGTTTTAAAGAAAACTTGTGCTAGTCTTACTTACGAAGACTTTAGTCTTATTTACAAAGACTTTGTCAGCAAAAGTGACGAGCGTGGCCTTGTCCCCRCGTGAGCACAGACCTGTGTCCGCTGGAGGCTGGCGGCAGCAGGGAGGCCGGGGCCGCAGCCGGGCAGCGCGGGGCCGTCGGCAGCCAGCTGGGCAGCACCGCGAGCGGCACCATCGCCGTCCACGTAGGCCTGGCACAAACACAYGGCAGGAGTCAGAGCCACGCGCGGAGCAAAGGACCACGGACACGGCGCCCGGCGGCCGCCCTCGCGAAACCGGAGAGTGAAGGATCCATTGCTTGGAAACACGCGGAGATTCGTCTGGGTTCCTCCCGGAKCAAAGCGAACGCATCAACCCCTGAATAACAAACGTTGTCCCCTATTCCCTCAATCCGAGAAGAACCAGTCTGAATGGCTGGTGTCCCATCATCAAATTCACTTCCTTAACATGGGGCAGTAACCTCACCCCAGCACAAACACCAGATTTCCTAGGAAGATCTGCCAAGACCTGAAGAAGGGCAAAGCCAAATATAGTCACCGTGCTTTGAGAAGTGCCACCTTCAAGATGTCTCTGGGGAACACACTRATCACTAGGTGCAAATAAAGGTGGATAAAGTTAGTGACTACTTAAAGCTGCATTAGACTCAAGAGCTCTGCCTCATACTCAGTAAAGCTTGTGGCAATGCCAGGAACCACAAAATTGGGAACAGGGATTTATAAACAGGCCAAATCCAGCATGGCTGGGAGCASGTGCCTATGGACCTATAAATGCCATGACTAAAAGAATCTAAAAAAAAAAAAAGGCACCAAACGTTTGCTGTACAGTTCTAGCCAGCCTTTGTGGGAGGATCAGTAGCATCTGATGACAACTCTACCAAGCTCCAGTGAACTGGGCAATTTCTCCTCTATTTTCAACAGTATCATAGAGCCCCATATAGACCCAGAGCAGTTTTCTAGCATTTTATGGCTGTTTGTCATGTTTCATCATCTAGCTATGGTAAGTTACTGCTCCACARCACTGCAAAGCAAATGAGATCAGCTACTACAGCATTCATCCCCACAGCTATGCTGCTGCTCACTGCAACTCCATCTCAGGATCTTCTTATTTCAGGAGCTTTCTTAACAGTTCACAGTAAACTAAGAYCCCTCCTCCCCCTCCTTCATGAGGGCTCGGGAGGACAGAGGAGGCTCCTGCTATTCCCCATGTGCTTGCTCAGCACTTCATTTATGATTCAAACAGCAGGAGAACACAGGCACAGGATAGGCTTAATGCAAGCAGGGAGCTGGAAGATTGCAGAGGGAAACAAATGGATTTTTTATATTCGTCTTAGCAGGACAGATAGTCTTGGTCTCCCAGATCAACATATGTTAGGTGCTGATAAGAAGGTCAGGAACAACCAGACTGCTTCCAGCATCAAGCTGCTTSACCTCTTTTGGGTCACGAAGGTGCCAATAGGGAACCCCAGCCAGGCAGGAAGAGTGTCTTGGCCAATAGATCTCAAAAACATTTCCTTAGTTTTCCCTGACCAGGACRTTCTTTTTGCTCATTGCTTCAAAATGGAACAATCAGCAACATATCATTCACAGAACTCCTTCTTTCTGCCCCCAAAATAAAAAGTTTTGACATTAAAAATAAATCAATAAAAGAATGACCAAATTCACTGGAGACAGAAAGAGTGAGGAACAAAATAATTATTGGAAAATCACGCACTGTCAAGTTCTAATGATGCAGAATAAATAATTATTAATTCTGCCTTGCCTGGCACAGAGTAGGATCCATTTACTTTTGCACAAAGGCTCCTCTTTTCCCCCCTTTTCTCTGTTTCACGGCCAGAAAGCTGAAGTGGATGAGATGGGAGGGGTCTGCCTCGCACGGAGGCGCCAACGGCAGCCCAGCTCAGATGCTAATGRTCATCTTCGCTGCCCTGTTCCCATCAAGCGAGTTTCTGTGCAGCATTCCCTGACTCAGGGTTTTTCTAAAGATGGTAACTAGAAAGAGAAATCCACTCTTTCATTGCAGATGACAATTAAAGGCTCATTTTTAAGTTATCCTTAAAAATGCACAAAACATAATTCATATTCCAAGACAGCAGGCATCTGTGGTAGCCTAATATATCTTGAAATAAAAGCGGTTTTCTCCATGCTGAGGAAAAAAAAATGGAGGAAAAAAAAGGGCAAATTGAACTACTAAGTTCTCCATTTTCACAACTAAAATTGTAGACACAGTTAGGCAAGAGCAGCACCGCAACAGTTGTCCTGACCTGCAATCATCCAACGCTCCTGGTGATCCCTGCGGCTAAGCTGGTTGCTGGAGAGGACTGGGAATGCACTAAACACAATAAATGGTTGGGTTTGTGACAACTAGGTTTGAAAATAAGGGTGGAGAAGCACACAGTCAAAATGATGGTGCACCCAAGGGACACTGGAAAGCAGAGCTTTAACGCAACAAAATGGGAAGAAAATTCTGGGCTGTAAAATTTGATTTTCCTGACTTTTCATAACTAGTTTGGCTTCAAGTAAACTGATTATCTAAAATAATTTTTAACAGTTTGGTTGTTGAACTTTGCTCCTAAACATGTTTTCATTGTTTAATGAGGTCTCTCCTTCCATCTTCAGGAGCTAGGGAACATGAAGCCACTGCAGGCCATAAATGCCTGACCTAAAATCCCTGACTTCCTGCCTAAGCACATTTTAAATGACAGTGCTTGCCAGAGTGAGCATCACCTGGGCAAGCTTCCTCACCCGATGTAAAACAGGTTGGCTGGAATAACTACATAGCTTAATGAGGGCAGCTCCTTCATTAGGGATGAGCAGAAACATGACCTTCAATAACAAGGCACTGGGAAATACAGCAGTGGCACCCAAAACAGGCCAGGTAACACTGAGAAAACATGAGCTCTTCCTACTGCCAGGCAGGTTGTCGTGTCCCTTTGCTACAACTTGTTGGAAAAGCCTAATATAGTCAAAGCAGTCACTCCTTGTTCATTGCTTCACACCAAATTTCATTGCTTCACACCAAATTCCTGGTGTTCCCCAAGGCTTGACTGTCTCAAAGAAAAGTTCTCGACAAGGTTCTTCACATGCTAAGTTTGACACAAACCAGAAAGAAACACGAACAAACGGTGGAAAAGCATGTTAAGAAACAGCTCCGTGTTAATACAAGCAGCACAAAACCTCAAGCAAACAAGAGCAGATGCTGCACCCCAAAAACAAAGTGGGTTTGAGCAGAACTGGAGGCATGCAGAGGGACAAGCGAGTCACGGAGAGGGCCGCGGAGCACCCCGGAGCCTCACCTTCCTCTTGTCCAATGAGGGTATGGCTACCCCATTGGAGCGGCTAAGGTCTGACACCAGCACCTTCAGAAGGTTCTGAATCTAAAGGAGGCGAAAGAAAAGTGGAAAGAGAAACGGCTCAGAAAAAGACAGAGAGAAAACACCGACCAGAGGCAGCCGCTGGCTCCTCCAGCTCGCTAGGAAGATGCGTCTCAGAGGAGCAGCGCTGGACACGGCCGGGGCTGCCTGTGTATGAGCAGACACCACCTCACCTAACCCCGAGTCCCGCACGCTCCTGCGAGTCGTTTTAGCCACTAACCAGCACGGCTCACATCATAAACTGGTAAAACCAGCACCTAAACCACTCATCTAACTCATCCGCGTTATGCCGGCCAGCCCTCCACCAGCTGCAGTGAGGTYGGCTGGAAATCCAAAGCACAACAAGGCGAGAAGGGACTTGGGGGGAGAAGGGCTCACGTTCTCCGGGGACTGCCGGTCGTCGTTAGCGGGGCTCTCCGGCCTGCTTCCTTCTTTAGTTTTTCGTTTCTTCTTGGCTCCTGCGGCTGCTCCAGGGCTATTTTTCTGCTGATATTCCTTCAGCTGCGGGAAGGAAAGGAGAAGCTGAAGCCCACGGGGAATGGGCCTTTGGTAACACAACACGTAACGAGTGTGAGGATCACGGGGCAAGACGGCAGATTGGGTGGAAAGACACAAGAAACCATCTTCAGAGAAACCATCTTCTCCAAAAAGATTCTGAACAAGCCGAGAAGGTCAAAGGGAGGGATGGGTTTGGCGTGAGAGGCTCCGAGCTGCAAATGTGCAACTTTGCTATGTGGTAAGCGACATTCGGTAATGGGGCAGAATGGGACCTCTCTGCTGCAACAGCGAGGAAACGCGTTTTGTTTTGTTTTGTCTCTCCCTTCGGGGGATTTAAGCAGGGGCAACCAGGGGAGGTCAGTAGCAGGCAGCGAGCGCCGCGGAGCAGGTGAAGAGCAGGCCCGAGGGCAGCCCCTTCCCCGGCGCCGAGCGGCGCTTCCCGCTCCGGGCGCCCCGCCGCCCCCGAGCCCGGACAGGCCCCCG